AGAGTGGGGATAGAAAGTGTGGGTCCCTACTCCTTCCGAGTTTACGCTTGCAACGCAGGCTAATTAGATATCGTATCAAGTACACCAGAACTGATGCCATTTTGTTTCTATTCCTGTAGAAAGCGCCGCTGTCAGATGATTGGTGTTTCTTGGACAGTAAGCGTTTTTATTTCCTTCCTGATTTGTATCATTTGTCATAAAGTGCAACAGCGATAGAAGCTTTTCAGCTTAATTGTCATGACTGCATTTCATAGCATGACTGAATTACTTACTGTCTCCTTTTGGGGTGAATCAAGGCTGTCTGTTCATGGCTTACACATTCGGGCGATTCCGAGTTGATCACTACCGTTTCACCTCTGTTCCCACCACCACTCATTTGAAACAGCTGATACAAGATAGAAACTGTTTCCGACAAGAAATGAATGGTCAAACGGTTGAGCAAGGTCATCATAATTTTGTACTATAGCATCACATGTACTCCTGTGGAGTGAAGTTAATGACGGACCATTTTTTTTTTATTTTTATTGAGGGGGTGGTTGGGCAATTACGTGAGGCATGAAATTTTTTTTCTTACCTTTAGGTTGTGCATGATTTTTTTAGCAGGCCATTGTTTTGCAAGATTTTTTTTTTAAGTCAAACAGGGAGCCTGTATAATAGAAAGCACATACTCGATTTTTTTTCGATTTTTAGCCGTTTTTGCTGTGCAGGAAATTGTTTTTTCGGAAATGCCCAACACAACTCCTCCCCTCCCCCTCAAAAAATGATGGTCCGTCCCTTATTTGACATTATCTTATCGTTCGAATACATGTCTGTCGCACTCAGCCACCCAGTATCAGCATCAGTATTAAGATTTATCAGAAGCATATCACCTAGGTGATATGCTTCTGATTGGAGTTAATCGCTTCTAGGTGATAGGCTTGTGGATTTATAGAATTGTGCAAGTGTTGAATAAAATGTTTTTTCGTCTTTCCCTCTTTCAGCGACTTATCCTGACAGAGTTTATCGTGTTGACGTAGCACAGGTAATAAATGTTTCACTCATACAGTCGGCTTCACCTTTGTTTACCGAATTACTGTAAACTGGAAACTAATCGATGGCACATTCTTGCAGGAAAAAATATACAATGTGGTGGACATTCTAGAGGATGGAATATTCATTGTCGACCTAAAGGATGACTCATTAAAGTAAGAAAATTTTGCTATAAAGAAGACACGATACCTTTGCGATTTATAGTGTACACAATATCCTTCAAGCCGAAGGGCACCTGAAAAAAATATTAGTTCAGTGAGGCAGATGATGTCAAACCAAAAAAGAACAGTAGCACCTAACAGTTTAAGTAATTCCGCCCTCAATAGGGCCTTACATATTCTGTATTTTATATTCCCCCTTTCTAAACAAATTTTCCTTATGTTTCTGAGGGAAACGATTCCTTGAATATCGCTGAATTGTCCTTGAAAAGTCCTGAGAAGATAGGTCACTCCTCTGTATGGGCCATGTACGCTAACCTTTTTTAAAGAAAGTTACGTTTAAATCAAGGTTTTGTTGTAGTTACGTTGCTGAACAATTACTACTAGGTAATAAGCAATTAGGAGTTCTGGAAGTAGAATCCTCAGCAGCCATTGGTTTGGATCGTCACGCAACACTTTGAGACGTTGCTTTGCGTGACGTCTTAGGCAACGTCTGCGAACTGAGGAGAAAGTTGGGAATTGAGATGCAACTTGAAAGCGGGAAATCAAGTAGAGCCAACGTCTAAGCCTAGTGTTACCAAGTATGCTGGTTTAATAAAAATAAACTTGATTTAGCCATTTTTCAGTGTGATAATTTGGTGTAATCTTTGTAGGAAACAAACGAATAACAAGAGCTCTACAGCTACGTCGTCGACTCGACTTAAAAGACCGCTGTCCGTTCCTGTAGATCCTATAACCAGGCCCTCGAATCTTGGCAGTCGGTCACCAGTCACTTTGCCACCACCCAGGATGTACAACAATTCACTTGGATCCAGTCCATCCGAGAGCGTGGAGGATATTGTGGAAAGCACTATCATGACACCGTTTTCCGCGTAAGTGAAGTGAACTACAAGTACGGTGCATTATGTGACTTATTTTAAATATTTTCCGGCCGCTTCAGCTGGGAGAAAAGAAGTTTATTTTCTGTAGGACAGAGAACTAATTCATGTGTAGTCTGACGCTCAGCCGGTGGCAATTGGGTGCTAGATTTGCACGTATGGTGCGGTTAAAAGTTTATCGAGTCAAGCAACTTTTAGCCACCCCTTGACACACGTTGTAATTCTCTCCCTTCTTCGGTGATTGACGAATTTAGTGACATGCGTGTCCTTGTCACAGCACGACTTTCACTCAACGTTGTTAGATCGTTAAAGACACTAAAGCTCAATTTTATTTTGTCTTTAATAGTAAAGAGTTCAAGTTGCCATCCCCAGATGGAGATGAAGCGGACGCCATTTGGTGAGTAAAACAAGCGTACATGCATGCGACAGAGGGCCCTCTAACTATTTGTTGGTCATTGATCTTTTAGCTTGGCCATGAATTGTTTTTAATAGAACCTTGTACCATGACTTGCTGAGGATCTGATAGAGAGAGAGGCCTGCTCTCTTCTCGCGGTATATCGCATTGTGTCCTTCTTGAATGATATGTAGTTGAACTTTTTTCTTGATTGTGTATATTAATAGAAATATTAATAAATAATGGCCACATCTGTTAAGATAATCGCTGGCTTGATTGATTCGCGTAGAGGAAGACATTTACAAGAATCTTATTGATCATTACAGGGTGAAGAACGAAATCATGAAGCGCAATGAACACAGTGAGTATAGCTCGTTATTTATATCCTTGTTTTAATTTTTTTTTTCCAATTTTTGATTTTAATTGTAGCTTCTTTATGAAGAGTACCACCTCTTATAATTGATTCTGACCTAACTGAATACACTTCCTTGTTTCTTTAAAGGCATGATCGAGGCTTCCAAAAGTGGAGAATTGGACAAAGTAAGAAGTAACCCAATTATTCCAGTGTATATACTATTGTGAGGTTTCCACTGATTTCGAGAAAAATTTGTTAGGATGCAACTTGCCTTGATACTGCGTGATATAACCCAGTTAGCTAACTTTTTGATCGTGTGTTTTCGAGCGTTTATTGATTGACCGTTGAGAGTAACTTTGTATTTGTTATGGTTTTGTAAATTTGTTCAAGACTTTTAACCAGTTGGAGAAACAAAGGAGCTACTCACGGTTTATGCATCTTGAAAAGTTTAGCCTAAATTTTTCAAGTTTATCTTTCGTAATACGTATTAATCTTCTCCACCCATACCCATCCTCGTTCCTTTATGGTTAACTATTATCTTTTCGGTGATTTTCTATCTTAGCAAACTACTATTTTCAGGTTTCCTTCAATCTAAAGGTAATTTTTGTACGTGGCCTAAATAACTCAAAATAGCGTGACTGAGTTCCTTTAAACTAACTAAGAACAAAACCAACCCCGGTCGTGACTTTTTGTACATCCGTTTACACGCGCTGGCCGCTGGTTGCGTGCTTTTACCTCATGGTCTGATTGGTTCTCTGCGCTATTTGCGTTTTTTTTTTTTCGGTTTGGTCGAATGTCAATGCTTTGGTTTAGCTCTTACAGCGTCTTCTACCTTGGTGTTGTTTAGGTAATCGCGTTACACCGTGGCGGCGCAAGTCTGTCAGCTGGTGATCACCGTGGCTGGAGACCGCTACATTACGCCGCGCGGCACGGTCATAAGGAAGTGGTCAGATACATTATCTCCAATGGTATGGCTCAATAGTGATGAACAGTTACCTTGTATGATATCATTCAATACACAGTCAAGTAAACAGGTCATGACAGTTCAGAGAATAATTACCAAAGTGGAAATGTCATTGATGTTCCAGTTGTCTTAGTGGCTGTGTTAAAAATATGTATAACGATCAGTGAGACGATTTGTACAAGACGCGCTCCAAAAGCGCTCTTAAACAGTAGAACGTAATTCACTCGTTTTGTTTGCATCGTTCAAGCGTTCGTGATACCTCCCAGCGGTTTATGTCCAACCGTAGTTCATGCCAGTTTGTGATTTCAACCGTGTGTTTTCCACAGTTCCACGATGTGTTTTGGATCTTGTCGAGGAAGAAAAGTAAGTAAAAATATGTTGATGTGTTATTTCTCAGTTTAGATGTGAAGTTTATATGAAATAATTCATATATGAACTGCGGTTGTAGATGAAAGTGAAGAATGATCATCGCAGTTAATTTTCCAATTTAAGCAATTGG